AGAGGTTGGAGCTGTCTGCCTACAGGAATGGGGGGGTGGGTGGGGTGGGGACTCTGAGCTCAGAGAGGCCACGAGGAATGGGAGGGGTTCTTGGGGCTGACACAGGAACGAGCAATGCTGGGAGGTCTGTGCATGAAATAGTTCCCAACTGTCTGCCCAGCTCCAGGCACAGAGCATCCCAGAGCCGGGCATTGCCTCCTCAGCCGTCAACAAAGGAGCGCTCTTCTAAAAAACCCCAAAATACCCTACAGAGAACTCGGGGCCGCTTGGGCAAGCCCTGTCAATTTCTGACATGGAGGGGTTCCGGGCATAATAGCCAGCTCCCTGTCCCCACCCTAAGGTGGAGCCTGATTGCCACAGGGCTCTTTTTGAAATATAAGAGGAAAACCGAGGATCACCACACAGGCAAGAAAAGCCCGCAGCGCGGGGATCCATTGCTGCCACTGACAGTGGCCAAAGGGGAAGCATTAGGGTGTTAAAGGGAGTCATGCAGTGATGTCTCAGCTGGAAAACACCAGAAATAACCTTAGAAGCATTATCTAGAGACACAGGAGTAACCACAAGACAACTGAAACCAGAAACAGCAGACAAGGTTGCCTCTGGGAAGAGGAGTTGGAGCCAGCAGGAGACTGAGGGCTTTTAGTACATGTTTAATGCGTTATGTGTGATTTGTATGATTTGATGCGCTGTGTATTAGTGTTCTAATACAGCACGTATAATTGATTGTGTGAGCACTACAAAGAAGAGATTGGACCATGAGGTAATAGTTGTGCAGCCTGACTGTGTTCGCGACTTGCTAGGCAATCTTAATCAGGAGCTGATTCTGGTTCAGGAGTTCTGGGGAGGCCTGGGGTCAGAGGATGTGGGGTAGCGGGGCATGGCTACAGCAAGATCCCTGGCAGAGGGTGGGATGTGAGGGCTGAGGGCCAGGACACGTGCTATACAGTGGAGACGGGGCTGGCCTTTGGAGACCCAGGCAGGAAGGGGGGGGTCCCAGCCTGGGCCCGAGTGTGAGAGCCTGCAGGACCACCAGTGTTTGGAAATTGTGAGAAAATATTTGTATTGGTCTCTGCCCTGGGTTCCGAAGGCAGAGCTCCTAAATCCCTTGGAATTTCCTGGGTGACAGGAGTGTGTTTCATTCTAATGAGGCAACTCTAGGAGGGGTCCTGGGTGGGGGCTGGCCACCAGAAAGATAGAGCCCTGATGAGAAGCTCGGAATTTTCAGCCCCCACCCCCCTATTTCTCCAGAGGGGGGACTGGAAATGGAGTTCATGATGCATCATGCGTACGTGAGGAAGCCTCCATAAAATCCCAAAAGTATGGGGTTCCGGAGCTGCCAGGCTGGTGGACATTTGGAGGTGTGGGGAGAGGGGCACGCCCCGTCAGGGCAGGGAAGCTTAGTGCCCCTTCCCTCATACCTCGCCCTACACATCTCTTCCACCTGCATGATCCTCTGTACCCTTTACCATTTCCTTTAATGAGCTGGGGAAGAGTAACTGGTTTCTTAGTCTTGTGAGCTGTTCTAGCAAATTAATGGAACCCGAGGAAGGGGTCATGGGAATCTCTGATTTACAGGCGATCAGTCAGAAGCACAGGAAACGCTCTCAACTTTTGGTGGCCGGAGCCTCCAGTCTGCCAAGGAGACCAGGGAGCTCAGTCATCACCAGCCCCCACCCCCGTTCCAGTATTCTCCGGTTCACAAGCTCATCTTCTGTGAGGGGCTGCAGGGGCTCAGCATTACTGTCCATGTTACAGATGAGCAAAGTCAGGACCATTTAGGTGATCTGGAGCCCATGGTCCGGACACCTGGATGGGGCAGAGCCAGGCCCAGGTCTCAGGCCTCCTAGGCCACTGGTCTTTCCAGACCCAAGTCCCTGGCAGACCTTGAGAAGCCATACTGAGGGGGAGGGAGGCCAAGCCTGACCCAGGGCAGCCTCTCTCCTGTCTCACACCCCCAGGCAGAGGCCACCGGGCCTGTGGTGGCATCTCTGTAGCCTCTGAGGTCCACTGCTGACCACAGCCGCCCCCCCTGCACCTCCTGCAAGGCTGCTGACCTGAGAAGCCCAGGCTGGTCTCCCAGCAGGGATCCGGGACCCTCAGTGACTGTGAGCCGGGAGAGGCTGGTGGAAAACACCCTCCTTCCTTGGGGCATGAATGCTGTCCTCCTGGGAGGTCTGAGGGTCTGGTATCACGGGGACCTTCCCCTTGCTCTTAACCTCACCATCAGTCATTCCAATGCCATCTCCTCAGAACCTGGGGAAGCCCACGGGTGCAGAGAAGGCACCTGGGGACCCCATCCAACTGACCAGTCTGTCCCTCATGCTGGGCTTCCCTTATCCCAGGTCTCCCTGTGGGGTCTGGGCTGGATAGTCCTCAACATCTCCATTCTGACTCTCCCCACAGGGCAGCTCCTGGGCTACGGGCTCCTTTCCCTGAACCCCTCTACGGTCGCGATAGCACAACCTTATCCATTCACCGAGTGTGAGCTGTTTAGGGTGGACCCGTCAGCCCCCAACCCAGACCCTCCCCGATGGTGGACTCATTCCTTCCACAAGCAGTGCATGAGCTCCTACTGTGCACCAGCCCTGCTCCAGGGGCTCACACACATGCACGAGTGCACCCAGCAAACCCTCTGCCTTCCTCCTTGTATTAGGAGGGGAAAGGCCGTGCGTGGGAACCACAGTAAATAAGGTGAGCAGGGCTCAGGATGAAAGAGCAGGGTGGGGGCTCAGCACCTGGGAGTGTGGTTTCCAGGTTACACCAGCAGGTCAGAACAGACTTCCTCAAGAAGGAGACTTCTGAGAAAAGACTGCAAGGAGGTGAGGAGTGACCGTGGACATCTGGGGGAGTCACTTTCCTGGCACAGGTGACAGCCCGTGGAACGGCCCTCAGGTGAGACCCTGCCTGGCCTGTTCCAGGAGCAAGAGGTCAGTGTGGCCGGAGCATACGTGAGCCCAGGCAAGGCAGGTAGGAGACGGAGATCAGAGAGGTGACAGGGAGCCCGATCTTGTCCATCCTGACCTAGAATCCCGGGATGCCAGAGCCAGAAGGGCCTCGGAGGTGGCCCCATTACCCACCCCCCGCTGGACAGGTGAGAAAACCAGGGGACAGGTGGGAGGCACACCCTGGGTCCCTGGGATCGAACTTGGCTCCTGAACACCTTTCTCAGACCGGACTCTGGTGTGAGCTGTAGTCAGCAAGCTGTGCCTCAGCCCCGGACTTACCCCTCGGAGCCCTGCAAGCATGTGTCTTTGGCAGGCTCTCCCCACTCCCCGTCACTCCCAGTGCTGACAACCCCGCTCTACACTGTTTCTTGGAGTCCAGCTTTTCTCATTATTTGAATTCCAGTGAGTTAACATGCAGTGTAATACTGTTTCAGGCGTGCGATGCCGTGATTCCGCACGGCCATGCAGCACCCAGTGCCCATCACGAGTGACTCCAGCTTTTCTAGATTGCTCACCTAAGTGAGAACATAGAGGATTTGTTTTTCTCTGTCTGACTTAGTTCACCCAGCATATGGCCCTCAGAGTCCAGCCATGTTGTCCCAAGGGGGCAGTTTCCTTCTTTCTGTGGCTGGATACTGCTCCAGGGGATGCATACGCCACTCTTCTTGGTGTGTTCACCCCTCGTGGACACCGAGGTGTTCCCACGTCTTGGCTCTTGTAACTCCTGCAGCAATGAGCACAGGAAGGGGTAGGTTCATCCACATCGTGATTCCATTTCCCTCATAAATACCCAGACGCAGAATGGTGGGGTCATGTGGCAGTTGTATTTTTAGTGCCTTGAGGAAGCTCCATACTGTTTTCCACGCTGGCTGCGCCAGTTTGCATTCCCGCCAACACTCTGTCCCTTGCCTTGTTGATGGCAGCCACCCCGACAACAGTGGTTTTGATTTGCATTTCCCTGGTGATCAGCCATGTTGACATCTTTCATGGACCTGTCCGCCATCTGGGTGTCTTCTTTTAAAAACCGTCTACTCAGGTCCTCTGCCCAAGCTTTAGGCAGTCCTGAGCGTTCATGTATAGTTCCTCTGTGTATGTCTTTCTGACCATTTTAAAATAACATCAAGAAAAGTTACCTTTTAGATAAAGTACTGGTCTCCAGTGTGTGTCAGTATGAGATGATTCACTGTGGTATACAAAGAAAATACAAGAATGTCTATTTGTATTTTTATTTTGATCAGGAAAAAACCCCACTTTGAACATGTGATAGAACGTCCCTGGCTCTCGGGCTTGGTGTGTTTGTCAGACGGTCACGTGTGGGTGAACTGTGCCTCGAGGGCCCTGCCCCTCACTGGGTCAAGTCCAGACTCTTGCTGTTTGGGAGCATGGATGTCACTGCACTGAGTGGGCGGAGTTGTTGAAAAGATCTCCTCCCAGCATTCAGACACTGAAAACAGCACACACACACACACACACACACACAAGACAAAGAACAAGAAAATGACAGCTGGCCACTGTCCCGCGCCTGGCAGACTTCTGCATCTGCACGGTATGGGGCCGCACAGACGACCCGATTAAATCAGACAAAGAAGCTGACCCCAGATTCCTGCATGTTTAGGTCACCAGGGTGAGATCTCTCTGACTAGCCCCTAAATGTGTTTCTAACAGACACGGATGTCTGTTGTAACATGGCTTTAAAGTAGAGGAATAATGTAAACCGTCTTAATTTCCCTAGCTTCTGGATGTCCCTGCCCTGAATTTTTTAACTCAAACTTGCGAAGTAGTCAAGAAGACCATATGCACTGTGGCTTGGCCGTACTGCCGTGATAGAGCTCTTACTCTAAATGCCTTTGGAGCCTTGAGGGATGAGCTAATGTATGAAGTCGTCACCAACTGCAAGGCGCTACAATAGGGTTTCTTTCATGGACATGGATATCTCGTATTTTCATATGCACAACTTATAAGTCTTGACTCTCGGTGACTCCATGTCTTCTTTTCCAGGAATTTAGAAATATTTGAACTACACGTTGCTTCTCTGGCAGCGTGGGAGGAATGTGCTCAAGCAGAGCCCAGCTCAAGTTCTGCTATGAGAAAGAGGTTGAGGGTCAGGGTCTTGCCTGCTGAGATGGGGATTGGATCTGGAAAACCGCAGGAAAGGGGAAGCTAGGGACGTTTAGACCGCCTACATTATTCCTCTATTTTAGGACAATGTTACAACCAATATCTGTGTCTGTGAGGAATACAGAAGTCCCCCTTCTCCCCAGGAGACACTTTCCTAGACCCCCAGTGACGCCTGAAAGCACAGAGTACCGAACCCTATATACACTATGTGTTTTCCTGTACACACATACCTGTGATAACGATTAATTTAGAGATTAGGCACAGTTCAAGATTAACAATAGTACTAATAAAAATAGAACAGTCATAACAATGTGCTATATAAAAGCTATGTGGATGTGGTCTCTCTCTCAAAATACCTTCCTGTGCTGCACCCACCCTCCTCCTTCATATGAGGATGTGAGATGATAAAATGTCTGTGTGATGAGGGATGCGAAGGCAGGGCTGTCGGCACTGTGACGTAGCGTTAGGCTACTCCTGACTTTCTGAGCATGAGTCAGGAGGAGGATCATCTAATTCCTGACTGCGGTTGACCACGGACCATGAAACCACGAACAACAGGGGCTCCTGTATCCTGGCTGCCGGTGACAGAGATCTAATCATGGTGACCTAGACAAACCATGGGCTTGTTTTTCTCTTGTGGTCAGAACAAATCTGCAGGCAAACAGTTCAGGGTAGGAATGATAACTCTGTGAGGCATCGAGGCCCCAGGCTTCTTGTATTTTTCTGTTCCTTAGTGTGTGGCGACCATCCTCAAGGTCACAAAATGGCTGCTGTGACTCTAGCCATCAGGTCCAGATGCCACAAAGAGAAAAGAGGGGAAGGGTGAGAGGGCTTTCCTCAAGTTCCATCTGATGAATTCTTGCTTGTATTTCAGTAGCCCTTCTTGTCCTACAAAGGTCTGGGAAATGTCACTTTTATAACTGACATAATTACCACCAAATATATGGTTAGAAATGGAAAGACTAGAGAGCAGAAAGGCCATTAGCAGTTCCAGCCATAGCATCCGCAAACATGTCTCTGAGCATCGATAAGGCTTTGCTCCTGCTGCAGTATACTCCTGCAGGTAGAATTTCAACCTCAAAGCGCATGGTACATTTACGACATCCGTACACTGTCACCTCGCTCCAACACTGTCACACCCACGAACAGTGTGGGCGAGTTCCCATTTTCCACAGCCTTGCCAGTGCTGGACATCATTCTCCTGATTGTCAGGTTGATATATGAAGATGGCATCTGTTTCATTTCTTATTTCCCTGATCACCGATAAGGAAAATCTGTGTCCTAAGATGGCCCACTGAGCCAGCGAGAGATTCCCAGTCCTTGCCTCAGGGCTCTTCCGGGTTCTTCTCCCTGCTCTGCCTTCGGTGTGCACCCATCCGAGTTCTTCTCCCTGCCCCGCTTCGCGCACGCGCCAAAAGTGCCAAGCATGCAGAAGTAGAAGTGTATAAATTGCCTCCTTTGTGCTCGGGGCTAAGACCTTTGGAGACCACCCTCCTCTGAGCCTGCCGGCATTAAATAAACCTGCTGTCCTCCAAGCTCTCCGGGTGCCGCTTGGTTCTTCCGTCGGGCGATCCAGTCCAGGTTCTGTAACATCACCAGTGAACTCGAGCATCTTCTTACCAGTCAGCTTGTTGGCTTTGAGGAAAAGGAATTTGTCCAGGGAAAAGACTCTTCCACTTTCTCCCATTCCTGCCGCCCCTCAGCCCCATCCCAAGGGTCCACACCGGACTTGGCTTGTGGAGAGTATTCAGAACCGGAGACAAGTGAAACGTTGAGTGAGCCGAAGCAGACAGCTCCTGTGACATGGAGTCTGAGGGAGAAATTGAGTTTTCTTCCAGACAGAGTACAATTCAAACTAAGAAGAAAAGTCCAAGGGGGTTGCTTGCTAGTCATGAGGGCTGCAGGAGGAGACAGACAGAGAAGCGGTTGTTCAGAATGTTCTGGGAAGTTGCTGCTTCAATTTCCATACAGCGTTCACAGTGAGGGGCTCTGTCTGGGGTCGTGTCCATAGGGGGAGGGGCGGTCATGGCTCAGAGGAGGAGGACCATCAGCGCAGGCCCTGCTGAAGGCGAGGCTGATTCCTGCTGCGGCTGACTCACCCAGCCTGAATGGGGAGACGCCTGCCCTGTCCTGTGGGGTCTCACACTCTGTCCTGTTCCTCTGGGGGCACTTGCAACGGTCCTGTCCCTGTAGATTTGTGGTCCCTTAAGGCTCTGGCGCTCTCCTCAGGGGCACCAGTTCACCGAACACGGGTTTACCTGTGCGCCCAGCAGGCAGGGTCCCCCTGTACCAGCCGGAGGTGCTGGGGTTCGAGTGGGGACGTGTGCCGCTCTTGTTGGATCAAATCTGGCCGCATTCAGGCTTTAGAGCTGGTCTGCTGACACTGCCTGCCTGCCGCGGGTCAGAGCCCACCCTGGTATCACTCCCTGCCCACTGGAAGAGAGCATCCTTTTCTAGGTGTCCTTCCTCTTTCAAGGGGAGCAGAAATGTTTATCTACTAAGATCTTTTACCTCTCCGTCTAAAACTACCCATCACCCTGACACCCCCTCATGTCCTGGCTTTAATTCCTGGACCCCCAGGGTGGGGTTTGCTTCTGGAGCCGGTTCTAATAATACCCTTTCTTGCCTTAACTTGAAACAAGCCAGTAGGACTTTCTGCTTTCCAGGATCCAGGCAGCGCTTTGGTTTGCCTGAATCTACACCACATATACCAGGACTGCTAGGTACTAAGGTCAGGTGCTCATAACTGTGACAACTCCTTGTCCCACCCCACGTGCATGAGGATTAATTAGTGGCCATTGCATGTGACAGTGCTCCCTACACATCTGGGCTGAGGCCCCTTCCATGGTGGAGGTGGACGCTCTTTGCCCCCCTAACCCGGAGGGCTGCTTGGCACAAATCTAGCTTTAGGGGCTCAACATCCCTGCTTTGCCTCCCAATCCTTGATCCTGACTGATGTCCCCCACCCAACCCAGTCGCTGGTGAATTGCCACCATCCCTGCTTCCTCCTCAGATGTGCTGCATCAAGAACAATAATTTGGAGGCCGATCTGGTAAAGTCGAGGCTTCCCCTGTAAGACTTCCTTGAAGATTCTCCCACCATGCTATGCAACTTTTTGTCACTCTCTAGTAAATATATCTCTCTAATCCCAACACGTCTGCAGAGGCCTCTCCCTCCCTGTGGCTGATGTGTGCTCAGAAGCCTCACATGCAGATCTCACCGAACCAAACAGCTGTGGGAATCCCACCAGGCATTGACTTCACAAGAAAGAAGCATCGGCAGCTTTAAACCCAGACCTGGTCTCTAATAGCGGACTTTGCAGACCTTCTCTACCTGTCCCTTGTCTGCCTCCAAACCACACTGTGGCCTGCTTTTGGGTGTCGGTCCTGCACTTCTGCAAAGTCTGCTGCTCCCGGGGGCCTGTGTCCTCCAGCAGGAAGGGGCTGCTTCCCACCGCGCCAGAGCCGGCCTGGTGGCGGGTCCCCTGGCAGCAGTAGGCAGGCTTCAGGAGACTCTGTGCATCGAGTGGAGCAGGGAGGAGGCCGCCCTCAGCCTGGGTTGGCCACAGGCCTCCTTTCCCACCAGGAAAGTTTCTGATTTCTTAAGGACTTGTGGCTCCATCAGATTAACACCAATGTCCAGCTCACAGCTTCATGAGTGACTTTTTAGAATGTACACGTTCAAGTATGCTCACAGGACAAGATTTCAAGGTAGGAGAGTTGAACCTGTTTTATTTAGCATTTAACCATATGTAGACATATGCTGTGTGGATCTCCATTTGTCCTCTCTGCCTGTCTCCATCAGTGTTAGAGGGTGTCTTGGTAGCAGGAGCGGGTGCATCGGGATGGTAAGGGGCCTGCTCGTGCAACTTAGTTGTGTCCCCAGGTCCTGCTGGAGCCTATGTTTGTATATAACTTCCACCTGATAATGGAAGGTAACTAGACATGACTGATGGTATGATTTCATGTACGAGAAAATGCATGGCTGAGGACAGTCGGCAGGGGAGCATGGTCATTTGGTGTGTCCCATGCTCTGCTACTAAGTGTCTTTAGAGTCCAATGTCAAGTCTACATCTATATGGGATAAGAGTTACTTGCCAAAGAAGATGTGGTTCTGCTTAGTATCAGAGGCTCTATCAAGCCCCTATGAGCAACTAAATAGTTCAATTACCACTTCAAATACCTGTGGGCCTCCAGGACCATACGAATCAAGAGCAGAGCTACTTACATTGTAACCTGCACCAGATAGGAGTCTTCTTTTGCTCTTCCAAGTTGGTTGTTGAGTGGATTACTGGTAAATATAGTGATATAGCACACCCAGTTGTCATAAATCTGGCTCCAGATACACAAACATGCTTAGGAAGCATGGTGTCTCTTTCCTCATGACAGAGCATACAGGAGAGACAAATTTGTTTTTAAATTTGAAGGGATATGTTGTTGTTTCCCCAAATGATCGGACTCTCTGTGAACTAGACTATGATGTCAGGACCCTTGATTTTCTTGGGATTTATAATCCCTTTCTGGTGCTTCTCTGTGTGCGGGAACATCTGGTGTACCTGCTACTTCCTTCTCACTTGGTCACATCGACATGATGGAATCCCCGTGGGAGATCAGCATGAGATCAAACACTGAGACATGATCCTAGCAGCTATGATCACAGTACAGCTGAGTTCCGGGGCTGGATGCACACTGAGCGGGTCTGACACAGGAGACCCTGGAGCTTCTCTGGGCAGAACCACGTGGGCAGCTCTGAGTAGGTCGTCTGCAGGGACAATGACTTTACTTCACGTGGTCTGATTGGGGGCTTGGGTGGGTTCGACTAGCAGCCTAGACGTGGGACAGATAATTTCTGAGCAAATGCTTCTCATCTCCCACCAACAACTACTGAACAGCTACCACGAAGCAGCTCTGTCCGAGTCACGGGAGATGGGGCAGAGAACAAGGTGAAGCTTCTGCCCTCAGGCTGCCCGCAGGCTGGTGAGGGAGAAACTACACTGAAACTAAGGATGCCCGTGAGC